AATTCCCAGATTCTTCAAGTGATAGGAAGTATTAAAAAAGGAAGGAATTTTGGAAAAACTTTTTTGAATTCATATCCTCAGAGAGACATGAGAACATTTTACCTATAAAATATGAACAGGGTCCTATGATGAAAAAGGGGCAATCCACAAACAGGAAAGTTTTCAAAATTGGAAATAATTGTCTAATTTTTCAAAAACTCAGCGAAGAGATTGGACAATAGAATGGATGCAGTTCAACAGTAATCTTTTAGTGTAAGAGAAGAACTTGTAAAATTTTTAATAAATGGAACGTATAAAGTAAACATATTAGTAAAACAGAACATATAAAACATATGATAGAAAGTTAAGAGACGGACTGGGGTTGTGGCTCAGTGGTAGAGTGCTTGCCTAGCATGCACCAGGCACTGGGTTCAAGCCTCAGCACCATATAAATGTAAAATAAAGATATTGTGTCCACCTAAAACTTAAGAATAAATTTTAAAAAAAAGAAAGTTAAGAGACATGGAAGAGACTCCCAGGAGATCTAACATCCATCTGAGGACTTTTAGAAATTCACAACAGAGAGAGGGGAGGAGGGTGCTGAGGATTCAGCTCTATGGGTGGAGTGCTTGCCTAGTATATGACTCCCTGGGTTCAATCCCCACAACTGCCGAAAAAGAATAGAGAAGAAAGATAATAATTTAAGAAGTATCACATTGCACACCATAAATATACACAATCATTATTTGTCCATTTAAAATTAAATTTAAAAATAATTAAAGAAGCCCGAAGTATTTCTTGGGTTTAAGGAAAAAAAAAAAGAATATTTAGACTTAGACTGAGAAGACCTGCCAAGTACCAAGCTGGAGAAATGAGCACACACATTAAGAAGCAGGGTGGGGAGAAGTGAATGAGTTTACTTTGCAAGTGCCTTTAGGATATTCTGGTAGAAATGGAATTAAAGCCCTGGGTAATGATCAGGACTGGAGAGAGTTTTGAGAATCATAGAAGGACCTTTGGTGAGAGGAAAGAACAGCAGAGCCGAGAAGGAGACCAGAAAGGAGAGGGCTCAGGGGGGAACCCAAGAAAAATGGATAAAACAACTGGAATCTTTCTGTTTCCACGGGAGGTGTCTTAGTTGCTATCTTCTGGGGAGAATCAATCTGTCCTCTTTTCTATTGCCCCTGCCCCACCCTGCCACCCTGGGCTCCCATGGGCCACACTGGCCTCTCCCTCAAAGCATCTTCACCAGCCTGGGGGATGGGTTTTGGCTGATGAGGGTGAAAATCGCTGGGAGGATTGGAATGGTGGCTCTACTACTCAAATTAGCCCATTTTCAGGTGGAAATCAAATCTTTATTCTTGCTGAAACAACCTGTCTCTCCACTGAAGCAGCTCATTCCGAACCACTTAGAAGCAAACAGCACATCTAATGATGGAAGATAACACACCTAATGGAGAGGTAGAGCACCAGGCTCTCTTTCCTGCTTCGTTTGCTTTGGGGGCGGCAGGGAGTAGGAGTGGCAGCTGCAGGGAAGAGGGAGAAGAGAAAGTAAAAGAGGAGAAAAGGAAAAAAAGAAGACTTGATACAAAGAACAGGAATGAGAACCAGTCTTCATTGTCCCCCAGCTTGCAGCAGAGGGACCTTGGCCCAGATAGGATGCCAACTGAGCCTCTGAGAGGGGAAAGAGGATTAGAAAATGCAGAAAATTTTGAGAACTGCGAAGTTTCTTCTCCCTCAAGTGAAGGCTGTTCATTCTGGGTCTTTCTCCCTGAGGTGTTATACTTTGGGCTCAACGTTCCTCTAAGAGCCATAGATGAATTGCACTAAGGTGATTCATAATGGGCACATCTCCAGATATTCTCTGCTTCTGCCATTTTGCCCGTGTCTTGCAGGGGAAGGGACTTGTATGTGTGTATTTCAATGTTTCAACCCCTCGTTCTTGTACATGCACACACACATGCACACTCCATTTCTTTATTTTATTTTTTGGTACTGGGGATTGAATCTAGGTCTTCATGCATGCTGGGCAAGTGCTCCATTACTGAGCTACACCCCCACATTCACACTCCTTCCTTCCTCCTTTCTCTCTCTCTTCTCTTTCTTTCTTTCTTTCTTTCTTTCTTTCTTTCTTTCTTTCTTTCTTTCGTGGTACTGGAGAACTAGAACTGCACTCTGTTTCTTAATCCCCATGTTACATTTATTTTTCTTCTTCTTCAGTTCTTCCAACCCATGCCCCAAATAACCAAGATCGCTTAAAAATATGCTATGGTTGACTCCTTTCTTTCCTTTGAGGCCTTGCAGAAGGGCCAGACTGAGAGCCTTAGCAAGGAGAGGGCAGGGGGGAGATACAGGCAATAGGCAATGGGTAGTTCTCCCTACTTGGAAGAGAAGCCTGATGTTATCTGCCTGGGTGACCAGAGATGGTCTAAACCCTGACCGCTGTGGGGGTAGGGTGGACACCAGCCAGCTGCAGATGGAGGGGTAGCATATTGTGCTCAGACCCTTATCAGGACAGCTCTCTCACAGACCAGTCCTGCAGAAAATAAAGCCCCTCTCTGTGTTCGCTGTCGCTGCTGCTGCCGTCACTTTGTTATGAGGGTTAGTGACTGTCCATTAACTCCAGAGAGCTGATTCTTGCCAGCGCTGCACCAACAGCTGGGAGCCAGAAAACACTGATGTGAAGAAGGGGGACTGCTTCCCCACCCTGGCTGGGCCCTCACAGAGTAAGTCAGGGAGGTCACTGGCATGGCTTACTCAGCTCTACCCAAGTGCCAATTAGCTAAGGTTTTTCTGAGCACTGGCTGGGCCTGCCATAGTTGAGGGAAATTATTGTCAGAGAAGCTCATTTTGTTTTTATATATAAAAAGGAACCTCTCTGTAGGAACAGATCTTTCTTAACTGTCCCCTCCTTCAGTCTTCAACGAGGGAGATCCCAGCCAGCCAAGGTCCCTGGGAAGAGATGCCAAAGGTCAGGTCCCTGGCCTATGGGCTACTCACAAAGGTTATTAATGGTGGTGGTGGCTTTTGGCCTCCTGGCTTGGAGGTAGAGGTCTTAACAACTTAGCCACTCTATAGACACTCATGACTTTCAGAAGGAAATAAGGAAGAGAAGGATCTTAAAAAAAAAAAAAAAACATATATTTTCTGGTTCTTAATGCTCCTTTCTACTCCATTCATAAAATCCAGTTTGTCACTGAAAGGCCATTAACTCTGTCTCCAAACCAGGTTAAGAAATGGTGTGCTGTATTCAAGGAGAACTGAGGGGTTTTTGGGTTCAGGAAAGCTGCAGAGAGCCCCACAGAATTTTAGGGCCTGGATCTTAAAGCTCATCTATCTGCTTTAGCCCTCTTCTTTTACAGATGAGAAAACTGAAGCTCACAAAAGGGAAGGGACCTGCCTGAGACAGTGACAGATCTGGGACCAGAACGCTAGGTTCCTGATTCCCAGTCAAATGCTTTTGTTCTGATACATTTCCCTATTTCATTTCCCTTATTTTCTACCCAATTACTGAGTCCTTACTATCTTCCAGGTGCTGTGGGGGAAGGGGTGGGGAGGAAAGCAAAGAGATGAAAACAACACAATCCCTGCCTTCAAGGAGCTGTTTCCCTAGATCTGTGATTCTTGGAAAAAAAATTAAAAAAAATAAAAACCCATGAGTCAGACTCTCACCCTATATTATCTTCTATAGGTGATGATGGAGGAGGAGGAGGGAGAGGGAAGGAAACCTTTTAATCTCTTCAAGACTTATGAATTGGACTTTGCTGATTCTGAAACTCCAGGGAGGACAAGGACAAAGGGAGTCATGGCTGGGCTGGGAGTAGAGAGGGTAAGGGTGATAATGCTCAGGTCACTGCCAGCAGGCCTGGCTAGAGGGTGGGAAGAGTGGCAGTGGCTCACACTGGTCTGGAGATGCACAAGTGAGAAGCTTGTACCTCTGATAAGGTGCACTGTTTCACTGAGTCCCAAGGCAGTTCCCTAAGGTGAACAGAACCTCAGAGTTCTTATTCCCACCTTAGGGGTGAGGAAAAAGGTCAGAGAGCAAGGATAACTGACCAAAGCTGCTAAATGCTCGGCCAGAGACTCCTATTCTAGGGCTCTTTCTACCACTGGGGTAGGGAAGTTGTGCTAGGGTAGAGGATGGGGATGAAGCCCTACAAAGTGTGGTCAGCCGCAGCCATTAGCCAAGTCTTCCTCTGATCGCTATATTCTGCTACTCTTGGTACTCTGCTCTGAGGAACTGGAAACACTTTGCAGGCCTGAATGAGCTCATTCAATACACTCTTGCCAGAAAGAGAGAGAACTCCAAATGGAGGCTCTATCTAGGGTCATCAGCATTCAGGCACACAATAGGAAACAGGACCTAGGTTTCCCCTTCTTTGTCCTCATGCACCAAACAGTATGATGCAAAACTGGCCTTCTTTCATGAGAATGAAGAGGGCCACCAGAGAAGATTGAGGCATCTCCTGGTACCTCCTTTCTAGCTGGGTAAATGTGTTAATCATTCCTGAGGAGGTGGACCCTTCCCTTGACCAAGGGCCATTTCCAGGGCAAATAAATCTCAGAGCAGAGGGAATTGCAGCTTCTGCAGTGACCCTGATAACCAGGCTTAGGTAGGAGGAGAGGGTAGTTTAGTGAAGACAGCTCAGATTTGGCTAATGTTGGCAGGACTGTGGAAGGTACTGGGGTACCATGGATTCTGGGAGACTCTTATCAGTGATTTGGTAACCAGTGGGCAGAGTGTCCCAGAGCTGTTTGGAGGTCTAGGTCAAGGCCAGGTGATGTGGGTTCAGGATGCCCAGGTGCCTGTCATAGTTCTGGTGCCTCATACCCCTCCTAGTGGCCCCAGACTATGGGGTGAGAGGTTGAGAGGGACATGGCACAAGCTCTGGAAGAGCGCAAGGTGAGGCCAGCAAGGAATCAGAGCTCCATCCTTGAGAGGGCTCCCACTGCCCTCCCGGCTCACTCCAGGTTCTGCGCCCAGCTCTGCGCGCCCTCTGCGCCCCCAGACGGCCCCTTACCTGTCCCGCTGCGGACGGTCCCGCCTCCTCCGCGGGGCTCGGGGACCTGGCATCGGCCGGCGAGCAACGGCGCCCCCGCCTCGCGGCCGCGGTAGAGCTCCCAGAAGGGCTCCCCGGCTCCTGGCCCCGCGTCCTGACGCCGCCGCCGCTTCAGCACCGCGGACAGCTCCTGTCCGCCGCCCGCCGCCGCCCGCCCCTCCCGGCGCGGTCCCGGGAGCCTCGCATCCTGGCCGGGCCCCGCCGCCGCCGCGCAGCCCTAGCCCGGCCCGAGGCGGCTCCGCGCCGACTTGGGGGAGCAGCGAGGAGACTCCCCCCTCCCCGCCTCACGCCGCCGCCGCCGCCTCGGTGCTCCGTGCTCCCTTCCACGCTCCGGAATCAGCCCACCAAGCACTCCGGACCCAGCTCCCGGGAGGGGCGGGGCGGGGCGGGGCGGGAAGTCGCGGAGCCCAGAAGAGGCGGTGGAGCGAGGGGCGCGCAGCTGGAACCGCTGCTCTGGCGCCGGGAGCCCAGCCCTCTCTCCCAGCCCTTCTCCCAGCCCTTCTTCCCGGCACCTCCAGCAGCGATGCGCGGCCCTTGGGTTTCTTAAAGCCTTTAGGAGCTCCAGGGCTCCCAAGCCCTGAGTTTTAATATTGATCTGCCCTAAAAAGAGAAATAAACAGAAAGAATTTATTGAGTGCTTACTATATACCAGATACCATGCCAGGTCATTTATTTATTGTTTAGGGATCAAACCCAGGGCCTCGTGCACGCTAGTATGCCAGATTATCTTTTAACCAACATAATCGCATTCAATGGTCTAAATTCTATTAGCCACCCCTCCCATTTTTATAAATGAGGACGCAGGGCTCACAGATTAAATCTCTCAATTTCGAGATGGCAGCACTCGGCTGAGAAGTGTGCATGCTGCAAACCCATAGGTCTAAGTTTTATTTGCAGTGTCCCACTTATGAACTGTGATTTTGAACAAGTTACTTAACCTCCCAAAACCTTTGGGTTCTCATGACTCTGAGAACCCAACTTCTGAGGGGTCATATGGGGACATATGTGATACATTGGCAACCAACAGGCTCTGAGTGGCTGAGCAGTCTCTTGTTATTTCAGTGAGAGAGCTCAGATCTAACCACAGGGATTCTATGCTTTTTTTTTTTTTTTTTTGTACTGGGGATTGAACTAAGGGGGCACTTTACCACTGAGCTACATCCCAGCCTTATTTTTTATTTAAGATGTTGATAGACCTTTATTTTATTTATTTATTTATATGTGGTACTGAGAATCAAACCCAGTGCCTCACACATGCTAGGCAAGTGTTCTACCACTGAGCCACAACCCCAGCCCATATGTCTCAGCCTTTTAAAATTATTATTATTTTTTTAAATTCTCTAAGTGGCTGAGGGTCTCACCAAATTACCGAAGCTGGTCTTAAACCCCAAATCTTCCTGCCTCAGCCTCCTGAGTGGCTGGGGTTACAGGCATGTGTCACTATACCTATTCTGCTTTTTATCTGATCCCAACTTCAGTTTCCTTTTAATGGATGTTGTGAGTAGATAAAGTTATTCAAGTCTTATTCTTCCCATGAGGTCTTGAGTCTTACCATAGTACTAGGGGTTGGAAGAACATTCTTATTTTCTGAAGGTTAAGTGGGGACCTGCAGAGAAAACCCCAAAACATACTGAAGTGGGGGCTGGAGCTGGAAGGCACTGGGAACCAGGCTCTGGACATGGGATTCCTCCCTTCCCCTACCCAGGATCCCACAGCACACTGAATGGTAAACTCCAAAAGACATGGAACATCTGGAGCTGTCCCTTTTAGTTCCCAGCATGCAGAGGAGTGGCCAGGAGCTAAGCCCCCTTTATCATCTCCCTCTGCCTGTGGTCTGTCCCTGTGATCATTGTGTTAAATATATTCTGCTCTTCCTGCCCCAGTCCCATTAGAATATAAACCCCTTGAGAAGGAGGGCTCTTGGACCTCACAGCTCTGCACAGATCCCCTTTCCCCTCCCCCACAAGACCTGGTCCCCTGTTTTCATATGCCTTTCTGCACCTTTGCTTCTCTCTGGCCTCCCTCTCACAGGGGCTTCTGGCCCCTACTTGGCTTCTCTCTGCTTCTCCCTTCTTACCCTGGCTTTGCTCCATGACTGGGCTGCTTACCGAATTACTAATTGAAAGGATAATAAAAAAAGCCAGTGAAGCAAAAGCTGCATATAAATTCCCAAAACTAATGTTGATAATTATACGCTACTGCCTGGAGGGAAGGCTCCAAGACAGGCCTTTGGTGTTGTGTCAAGGGCCCTGCTCTGGGTGCCAGGAAACCTAGGTGCTAGTCTTGCCTCTGTCACTAACTGACAGTGCCACCTGAGGCAGTCTAATCTTGGGTCTTTGCTCCCTTAGAATTCTAAGCCCTGGCAGGAGCTTTGAACAAACTGTAGCACCCTAGGAAATCTGTAACAGAGAAGAGAGGGCTAAAACAAGCACAAGAATGGAGTTTCTTTTAAGGAACACTTTTTACAGGTACAGGTGGTGGCTCTGGAAGAGTCTAACCCTGCAATTGCCCATTCCATTCCCCATTCCCTCTCGAACCCCTCCTTCCCTTCTCCATCAAGCATTCCTTGCTCTGCAATGGAACTCAGCCCCTCTGAGTTCAGCACAAGTCCAAGCAGTGAAGGGTTTGGGGTAGATAGACCAGCAATTCGGACACATGGAGATCAATGCTGACATGAGTAAGTAAAAAGTGTTCTGCCTGGGGTAGTCCCAAGAGGCTTCCTGGGGGAAGTGACATTTAGGTTAAATTTTATTAAAGAATGAGACATTCACAAGGCAAGCCAGGCTCAGGGAGGAGGGAGTTCTGGGAGGAAGACTGGAGTGAGAGAGGAGTTTGAAGGACAGGTGAGGAAACTGTGGCAGAGTCCAGGAAGGAGGTGGTAAGAATTCAAACAACACCAGGTCAGCAGGCTGGGGAGCAGGGGATGGATCTAAAATACTTTAGACACTTTTGGGTGAGAATAGAGGAGAGACTGACTGTGGGGAAGGGCATGGACATCAAGGAATAATGTCGGGGCCTCCTGTGTCTGGGAAATTGTTTTTATTTTTGCTTATTTATTTATTTATTTTGGTACCTGGGAGTGAACCCAGGGGTGCTTAACCGCTGAGACACATCCCTGGCCCTTTTTTATTTATTTATTTTTTATTTTGAGACTGGGTCTGGCTACGTTGCTGAGGCTGGCTTTGAACTTATGATCCTCCTGCCTCAGCCTCCCAAGCTGCTGGGATTACAGGCATGTGCCACTGCACCCAGTCACCCCCAAATTTCTAGGCTTTTAAATTTTTATTTTTTTGCAGTGTTGTGGATGGAACCCAGGGCATTGTGCATGCTAGGTGAACATTAAACCACTGAGCTACAACCCAGCCCAGTTTCTGGGCTTTTATACTTTTTTTTTTTCAATTTTAATCTCTCTTTAGTTCCTAGGAATTTTTTTTTTAATTTTGTAGTTGTAGATAGACACAATACCTTTATTTTATTTATTTATTTTTATGTGGTGCTGAGGATCGAATCCAATGCCTCACACACGCTAGGCAAAAATTTTAAGCCAAAAAACCCACAACACAACACAACACAAAACAACCCTTTCATCTTATCTTCTCTTGACTGTCTTAATGGAAAGGTAATGTCCAACATGGGCCAGGAGAGCTGTGAGGTGGAGATGCCCTAGAAGCCTACTTGGAGGAGGCAGCAGGTATCCTTGCTGGAATCAGAGTGACGCCCATAGATAAAGGACAGAGCAGGCACTGGATGAACATCTGGGATAAGATGCCCCTGTGTCTTGTTCTTCTCCTCCCACTTCTCTGACAGTATTCAAGAGAGGGGAAAAAAATTAAAAAAAAAAAAAAACTGGTGAGTTTTTGTTAGAGTCAGCTAGGGCTGCTAATCTCTTCCACCTGGGGACTTCCTTTCATATGCTTTTTCATGCATAAACTCTTATTTCTTTTTACAAGGGGTTGATTTTTTTCCCCAGTGTTCCCTAGGGGATATAAATCAGCACCAAGTATAGAGAGAAATCTGCTTTGCTTGCTACTTGATAGGCCTCATATTGAAAAAGATTCTTTCCATAAAGGGGAAGGTGAACCCCTTCCCAACCCAGTGAGCCCAGTTCCTCATGGTCAAGCTCATGGTCAGGGCCACGTGCTGTGACTGACAAAGCCCTGGGTAATAAGGAGAGGGAGGCTGGCAGAGGGCAGGGACAGGTGGGCCTTTGGACCACCCATCAGCAACATCCTGTGCCCATGGACACAGCTTCAGGGTGGCCCAGCTCCACACACTGTAAGTGTAGGCAGGTAGTAGGAACCAATTCTTGACTCTAGATCCAAGAGGGAAAGAAACCTGGAAACCCTCACTGCTCCTGAGTCAGGCCTTTTGGTGAGAGGCAGACACACACACCCCCAACAATGGTATCTATTCTCTATCTCTTAAACTTTTCGTTTGGGGACTTTGCAAGTTCATTAACAGCTGCTCACTTCCTCTCTCATAGGAGGTTGCAAAACTGAAGACAAGGCCATTTCTTTGGAATCACACTGATTCATTCCCAGGAAAGATGAGGAGAGTTCTCAGCACCAGTTCTGCCCAACTCCCCCTTTTCCTGCCAGACACATACTCACTCAAGCCTGGGGAGGAAAGTGGGTGTGAGTTACTGCAACTCTGAGAGGCTGAGCTAGAGCATAAGGTGGAAAAACAGGGCAACGGCAGACTGCGCATCTCAGAACTCCAACATTAACTCTGGCATCCACAGCTGCCTTGGGGGCATGTGAGCATTTGCTCCCTGGCAGAGAAACCTGCACTGCTGGCACTCTCTCACTTTTGCAGAGCAGAGATGTGTGAGCATGTGAGTGTGAGGGTGTGGGGTGATGGGGTGGGGATGATCATCAGTGGCAAGCAGACTAAAGTGTTCTTTCCACCCGACACCGTGGCAGCATGAAAACCGGTAGAAGAATGAGAGTGTTTTCTATTTGCCTTGCATTCTACTGTTTTAAAAGCATATGCTCAGCCACTACTTTGTCTGATTCTTGTATACATGTACAAGGTGAGGCAATGAGAAGTTAATTCCAACTTGAAAAAAGAACTAGCCGGAGATCAATACCAAGTCAAAGGAAAATAAATGAGATGGACGCATGATCCCACATTGTCCCTGCTCTGGAAGCCA